GCCCCCTGCTGGCTGTGTGCCCCCTGCTGGGTGTGTGCCCCCTGCTGGCTGTGTGCCCCCTGCCGGGTGTGTGCCCGCTGCCAGTGTACCCCGCTGCCAGGGTATGCCTGAGCACATCCTGCCCCCTCCCAAGACACACTCACACGGGCCTGGCTGCACTGCTTCCTGGGAAAACCTGGAACAGGAAATTTAAGATGTGATTCGCAAGTAAAGTAGTTTTGCTGTAACAAATGGGACCCGCCCAGCCTGGCTGGCACTCGCTCTGAAGACCACGGTGCAGAACCTTGGGTCTGTGTGGGGCGGGCATATTGTGGGTGTTAAGAGCACATGCCACCCCGTCTCTGCTCCCTTCGCCCCCAGGTAGCCATTCTCGGGTTGAAGAGCTGTTCTGGGGAGGGTGTGGCTTTCACCAGACACAGTGGCCGTCAGAACCGCCAGGCAGTGAGTTTATAATCAGAGTGACGCACAGAGAGACTGGCAGGGCGGCACCCGGCACAGGAAGTGGAGCTGCTCTGAGCCTGGCCAGGCCATAGGGAGCGGTCCGGGAGGGAGCGGGGCTGAGGCAGCCCTGCAGGTCTGGGTGGTGGCGGCCAGCTCCCTGACTGCTGTCCGCTAGTCTGCGCTGCCCGGACTCTGTTGGCAGCCGCCGAGAAGCTGGGGTTGACAGACCCTCCTCCCCCTTGCCCTCCGCCCCCATGTGGGTTCCAGCAGGAGGATCGGAAGGGGTGCCCACAGGCCATGCTTGTTGGATGTCGCCGGCGCCAGCCTGAGATGTACTTAGTGATCAGCTACAATTTATAGTTTGTGGCTCCTAGACTCAGGGGTCATCTGGCCAAGGTGCGGGCCAAGGGAACTCAAAGCACCTTGCACATCGCCCGCCTCCTGCCCTCCCCTCCCCTGCGCTCCCAGGGCCCCAGCGGCCAGCGGCTCTCCCTGTGGCTCTATCGGAGAGGGCAGGAGCCAGAGCACTGAGGAAAGCTGGGGCCCCTGGGCCCCTCCCGGGCCTCCTGCTGGGCCTCCTGCTGCAGTGACATCACTGAGATTCTGGCGCTGGGCCCACGGGCCGCAGGGGCGACCTGCAGAGGGTTCTCCTATTTTAGGGTTCGTGTATCGGGTGAGACAGAACCACAGAACCAGCTCTAGGTGATGAGGTCTGACCTGGGAGGGACGGGAGTGATCTGCGGATTCCCTGTCTTTCCTCAGCGTGTGGCTGGGGAGGAGCTCACAGCTCTGGCCTGGGGTACATATCTGACCTGGGGTACAGCTCTGGCCTGGGGTACATATCTGACCTGGGGTACAGCTCTGGCCTGGGGTACAGCTCTGGCCTGGGGTACAGCTCTGTCCTGGGGTACATCTCTGACCTGGGGTACAGCTCTGACCTGGGGTACAGCACTGGCCTGGGGTACAGCTCTGGCCTGGGCTACAGCTCTGGCCTGGACTACAGCTCTGGCCTGGGGTACAGCTCTGGCCTGGGCTACAGCTCTGTCCTGGGGTAAAGCTCTGACCTGGGGTACAGCTCTGACCTGGGGTACAGCACTGGCCTGGGGTACAGCTCTGGCCTGGGCTACAGCTCTGACCTGGCGCTCATCGAGCTCTCATTGGTCCTCCCTTCCAGGCTAGGGGGCGGCCCGGAGAGCCCTGGGCTGCAGAGCAGGTTGCACAGGGTGTTGCGGAACTTCTCAGCCACAAAAAAGTACATGATGGGGTCCAGGGCCCCGTTGAGGCTGGTGAGGCAGGAGGTGACCCTGTTCCCCAGGGCCAGGGCGCGCCGGGCGGCGCAGGAGGTGCTGCGGTGGCGCAGCACGTAGACGAAACGGTGCACGTGGTAGGGCAGGAAGCAGATCAGGAAGATGGCCAGCACCAGGGCAACGGTGCGGACCGCCTTGTTCTTGAGGCGCGTCTCCACCCGGGGGCCCCGCCGCAGGCTGTGGATGATCCGCAGGTAGCAGGTAACCGTGGTGACGAACGGGAAGGTGAAGGCCACAGCCAGGGACAGGAGCGCGTGGGGGGAGGCCTTCTCCCGGTACAGTTGCAGGCAGACGACTGTGTGGTTGGTCCTCACGGTCTGTGGGCTCACCAGCAGTGGGGCCATGGCCACGGCCACCACCACCCAGAGGCAGGCGCAGGCCAGGTGAGCGTAGAGGGGCCTGCGGAGCTTGAGGGACTTGACGGGGTGCACAATGGCCAGGAAGCGGTCGGCGCTGATGCAGGTGAGGAAGTAGATGCTGGCATACATGTTGAGGTAGAAGAGGAAGCCAGTGAGGCGGCATGGGATTTCCCCGAACGGCCAGTGGCTCCCCGAGAAGTGGTAGACCAGGCGCGTGGGCAGGACCAGCACGCAGGACAGGTCTGCCACGGCCAGGTGCAGCAGGAACACGTCGGCAGGGGTGCCCGCCCGGCGGTCCCGGAGGAAAAGCCATAAGGCCAGGGCATTGCCCACAAAAGCCAGGAGGAAATCCAGAAGGTAGAAGGAGGCTAAGAGCACGTTCTCCAGCGGCGTCTCCTGGCCACACTGATCCGCAGCCGCCAGGGAAGCATTGGTTGCCAGACTGGAGGCCCCCTTGAGGCCACTCATGCTTCGGCTGGAGGCAGAGCCCGGACGAGCCTGGAGGAAGAGAGGACGCCTGGTAGCGCCGCCCTGCGTGGGGGCCCCTGGTCCATCTGCCACGGGCTTCCTGAACGTCACCAAGAAGCACAACAGAACCGGGCCTGGAGCTTCCTGGCTGCTGTGAGTCGCACCTACCTGTGGGCAGGCTCTGCGGGGGCGGGGCAGGGCCGACTACATTGTCTCAGACCCCGCAGTCAGCCCTGGGGGGTGGGGAGCGAACCAGTGTGTCTGAGGCTCTGGAGGCGGAGGACTGGGAGGGGTCCTCAGGTGTGCTGTCTGAGGGCAGGGTGGTACGTGGGCCCGGAGCCCCATTCCTGGAGGACAGGGAAGCAGGTTACCTGGTCCCAAAAGCCTCATGTGTGGAGCCCTGCTGGCGCCTCTCCAGCTCTGGTGGGGCCAGGTGGATCCTGCTCCCTGAGTCCAGCCCCCTGGCACCCACCTGCAGCCGGGGCACTTCCCCCAGGGCAGGGGTGTGGAGTGTGGCCGCTGTGCCTTCTCTCCTGCCAGCCCCTGCCCACAGCGCCGGTGCCTGCCACAGAGGAGGGTCACTAGCAGCGCAGTGTGGGCTGTGTCCCAGGGGCCAGGGGCCTGCTTTCTGTGTCCCAGGACCCCAGAGGTCAGGCCGGGGCACACCTGTCTGCCAGGCCTCACTGCCTGCCGCACCCACACGGAGGCGAGGGCCAGCCTAGGCAGCAGCTGTTCACAGCTTACACGCCTGGTTCTCTCCCCCACAGACAGGGTAACATGCACCTGGTTTCATATTGAGCTGCTTGAAAGGTAGGCCCCACCCAAACACCCGACCCCCTCCCAGGACTGGAGGGGGAGGTGCAGCGGGAGAGGGCTGGTCCAGGAGGCCTGGCCCCTGCAGCTCGTGCCCTGGGGGGCTCGCAGGCTCTCCCGGAGGCTCCTGGCCAGGGGGTGGGTCTGCAGGGCAGGAGAGGGGCTGTGTGCAGAAGCACCTCCCAGCAGCCGGAGGGCAGGCTGCTCTCCTGGCTGAGCCTGGCTGCTGAGCAGCCGGACATGGAGCGAGTCCTTTCAATGCCTGCCTGAGGGCTGGCATGAGGAGCGGCTGTGCCACAGGGGCATGGCCCTGGCTCGGTTAGCACAGCAGCCCCTTGAGGGGAGGGAGCTGGTGCAGGAACAGTCCAGGATGTGGGGTGCTGGCTCAGCCTGACTTTTATCATCGGGGCTCCTCAACACGCTGGGCTCCTGAGTTCTGGTCTCACAGAGAGGCAGGGCCTGGCCCAGGGACAGTGTGAGTGAGAAGCAGGGAGAGGCCCAGGGACAGTGTGAGGAGGAGCGAGAGGCCCAGGAACAGTGTGAGGAGGAGGGAGAGGCCCAGGGATGGTGTGAGGAGGAGGGAGAGGCACAGGGACAGTGTGAGGAGGAGGGAGAGGCCCTGGGACAGTGTGAGGAGGGAGAGGCCCAGGGACAGGGTGAGGAGGAGGGAGAGGCCCAGGGACAGTGTAAGGAGGAGGGAGAGGCCCAGGGACAGTGTGAGGAGGAGCGAGAGGCCCAGGAACAGTGTGAGGAGGAGGGAGAGGCCCAGGGATGGTGTGAGGAGGAGGGAGAGGCACAGGGACAGTGTGAGGAGGAGGGAGAGGCCCTGGGACAGTGTGAGGAGGGAGAGGCCCAGGGACAGGGTGAGGAGGAGGGAGAGGCCCAGGGACAGTGTAAGGAGGAGGGAGAGGCCCAGGGACAGTGTGAGGAGGAGCGAGAGGCCCAGGAACAGTGTGAGGAGGAGGGAGAGGCCCAGGGATGGTGTGAGGAGGAGGGAGAGGCACAGGGACAGTGTGAGGAGGAGGGAGAGGCCCTGGGACAGTGTGAGGAGGGAGAGGCCCAGGGACAGGGTGAGGAGGAGGGAGAGGCCCAGGGACAGTGTAAGGAGGAGGGAGAGGCCCAGGGACAGTGTGAGGAGGAGCGAGAGGCCCAGGAACAGTGTGAGGAGGAGGGAGAGGCCCAGGGATGGTGTGAGGAGGAGGGAGAGGCACAGGGACAGTGTGAGGAGGAGGGAGAGGCCCTGGGACAGTGTGAGGAGGGAGAGGCCCAGGGACAGGGTGAGGAGGAGGGAGAGGCCCAGGGACAGTGTAAGGAGGAGGGAGAGGCCCAGGGACAGTGTGAGGAGGAGCGAGAGGCCCAGGAACAGTGTGAGGAGGAGGGAGAGGCCCAGGGATGGTGTGAGGAGGAGGGAGAGGCACAGGGACAGTGTGAGGAGGAGGGAGAGGCCCTGGGACAGTGTGAGGAGGGAGAGGCCCAGGGACAGGGTGAGGAGGAGGGAGAGGCCCAGGGACAGTGTAAGGAGGAGGGAGAGGCCCAGGGACAGTGTGAGGAGGAGCGAGAGGCCCAGGAACAGTGTGAGGAGGAGGGAGAGGCCCAGGGATGGTGTGAGGAGGAGGGAGAGGCACAGGGACAGTGTGAGGAGGAGGGAGAGGCCCTGGGACAGTGTGAGGAGGGAGAGGCCCAGGGACAGGGTGAGGAGGAGGGAGAGGCCCAGGGACAGTGTAAGGAGGAGGGAGAGGCCCAGGGACAGTGTGAGGAGGAGCGAGAGGCCCAGGAACAGTGTGAGGAGGAGGGAGAGGCCCAGGGATGGTGTGAGGAGGAGGGAGAGGCACAGGGACAGTGTGAGGAGGAGGGAGAGGCCCTGGGACAGTGTGAGGAGGGAGAGGCCCAGGGACAGGGTGAGGAGGAGGGAGAGGCCCAGGGACAGTGTAAGGAGGAGGGAGAGGCCCAGGGACAGTGTGAGGAGGAGCGAGAGGCCCAGGAACAGTGTGAGGAGGAGGGAGAGGCCCAGGGACAGTGTGAGGAGGAGGGAGAGGCCCATGGCAATGTGAAGAGGAGGGAGTGGCCAGGAATAATGTGAGTGAGAAGCAGGGAGTGGCCCAGGGACAATGTGAGGAGGACGGAGAGGACCAGGGACAGTCTGAGGAGGAGGGTGAGGCCCAGGGATGGTGTGAGGAGGAGGGAGAGGCCCAGGGACAATGTGAGGAGGAGGGAGAGGCCCAGGGACAATGTGAGGAGGAGGGAGAGGCCCAGGGACAATGTGAGGAGGAGGGAGAGGCCCAGGGACAATGTGAGGAGGAGGGAGAGGCCCAGGGACAATGTGAGGAGGAGGGAGAGGCCCAGGGACAATGTGAGGAGGAGGGAGAGGCCCAGGGACAATGTGAGGAGGAGGGAGAGGCCCAGGGACAATGTGAGGAGGAGGGAGAGGCCCAGGGACAATGTGAGGAGGAGGGAGAGGCCCAGGGACAATGTGAGGAGGAGGGAGAGGCCCAGGGACAATGTGAGGAGGAGGGAGAGGCCCAGGGACAATGTGAGGAGGAGGGAGAGGCCCAGGGACAATGTGAGGAGGAGGGAGAGGCCCAGGGACAATGTGAGGAGGAGGGAGAGGCCCAGGGACAATGTGAGGAGGAGGGAGAGGCCCAGGGACAATGTGAGGAGGAGGGAGAGGCCCAGGGACAATGTGAGGAGGAGGGAGAGGCCCAGGGACAATGTGAGGAGGAGGGAGAGGCCCAGGGACAATGTGAGGAGGAGGGAGAGGCCCAGGGACAATGTGAGGAGGAGGGAGAGGCCCAGGGACAATGTGAGGAGGAGGGAGAGGCCCAGGGACAATGTGAGGAGGAGGGAGAGGCCCAGGGACAATGTGAGGAGGAGGGAGAGGCCCAGGGACAATGTGAGGAGGAGGGAGAGGCCCAGGGACAATGTGAGGAGGAGGGAGAGGCCCAGGGACAATGTGAGGAGGAGGGAGAGGCCCAGGGACAATGTGAGGAGGAGGGAGAGGCCCAGGGACAATGTGAGGAGGAGGGAGAGGCCCAGGGACAATGTGAGGAGGAGGGAGAGGCCCAGGGACAATGTGAGGAGGAGGGAGAGGCCCAGGGACAATGTGAGGAGGAGGGAGAGGCCCAGGGACAATGTGAGGAGGAGGGAGAGGCCCAGGGACAATGTGAGGAGGAGGGAGAGGCCCAGGGACAATGTGAGGAGGAGGGAGAGGCCCAGGGACAATGTGAGGAGGAGGGAGAGGCCCAGGGACAATGTGAGGAGGAGGGAGAGGCCCAGGGACAATGTGAGGAGGAGGGAGAGGCCCAGGGACAATGTGAGGAGGAGGGAGAGGCCCAGGGACAATGTGAGGAGGAGGGAGAGGCCCAGGGACAATGTGAGGAGGAGGGAGAGGCCCAGGGACAATGTGAGGAGGAGGGAGAGGCCCAGGGACAATGTGAGGAGGAGGGAGAGGCCCAGGGACAATGTGAGGAGGAGGGAGAGGCCCAGGGACAATGTGAGGAGGAGGGAGAGGCCCAGGGACAATGTGAGGAGGAGGGAGAGGCCCAGGGACAATGTGAGGAGGAGGGAGAGGCCCAGGGACAATGTGAGGAGGAGGGAGAGGCCCAGGGACAATGTGAGGAGGAGGGAGAGGCCCAGGGACAATGTGAGGAGGAGGGAGAGGCCCAGGGACAATGTGAGGAGGAGGGAGAGGCCCAGGGACAATGTGAGGAGGAGGGAGAGGCCCAGGGACAATGTGAGGAGGAGGGAGAGGCCCAGGGACAATGTGAGGAGGAGGGAGAGGCCCAGGGACAATGTGAGGAGGAGGGAGAGGCCCAGGGACAATGTGAGGAGGAGGGAGAGGCCCAGGGACAATGTGAGGAGGAGGGAGAGGCCCAGGGACAATGTGAGGAGGAGGGAGAGGCCCAGGGACAATGTGAGGAGGAGGGAGAGGCCCAGGGACAGTGTGAGGAGGAGGGAGAGGCCCAGGGACTGTGTGAGGAGGAAGGAGAGGCCCATCCACAGTGTGAGGAGGACGGAGAGGCCCGGGGACA